AAGGAGGGGAGGGGAGAGGAAGGAAACCTTGTGCGCGAAGGCGGCGGAGGTGGCCTTGGCGGCGGCGGAGATGGAGGCCATGGCGGCGCGCGCGGTCGAACACCTTGAGGTCAATAGAGGGGGATTGGGGGGTAGTGCGGCCGTGGCGAGCACGAGTCGGGCGTGTGGGCGAAGGGGGGTCACAGGCGGAAGGTAATATAAGGGTGTGTGAGGTTACGTGTTCGATTTTGGCCGTCCGATTGAGGTTGGACGGTGGCGCGTGGGTTTGAGCTTTGAGGTGTCTGTAGCACAACGGGGATTGCATTCTACTACCTGTCGAGTGTCCGCAAGAACCCAAGAAGAGAAATTCAACGGATGATGGCTCAAACACAATTTTTAAAGGCATTAGAAAGTTGACCCTTTTTTGGTTATTTTTAATTGGAAATCTAACCACCTCACGCCAAATTGCTTCATTCCAAGTCCTTTGAGAAATGCACCGAGAACAGAAATACAAGCGACGAGCGTGCTCGGTGTGATGCTTAAAACACAGAATGGTGGCAGCTAGGATGCAAAGCGATGTCCCGCCAGGGGCGGCGGCGTGGCATCGCGGAAATGGGAGTGGTCAATTTGAGCGAGAACTCGGTTGATGCGTGTGTGAGGTAATGTTCGTGTTTTCAGTCGTTCGAGTGAGATCAGGTGGTGATGGATGACCTTTAGTGGTGTAGGTTTTGCCTACTACATGTAGCTATTGCGTTTTTATTGGTGGCGTAATTGTGCATATGCAGGTTTTGTCTTTTTCTTTGGAGAGAATTTGAATAAATATAGCTATGGTTGTATAAGTTTTTTATATGGGCTACGATTAGTAAGTATTAAGGGTGATAACTCTGAGCAGTTTTTTAGGGTAAATTATAGGCACACGCCCTTTTCTTCATGATGTTTTCACAAGGATGGGGCGTACTCTGCTTCCTCAGCTTACAAGGCACAGTTTAACTACGTCGGCAATGGTCCTATCGGTAAGGAAGGTGTGGGCTCCTCCGCCGTGCAAATTTTTCACCTGGCTTGTTTTTCAAGATAGAATCTGGACATCGGATAGCCTTACTCGACGTGGGTGGCCCAACTGCGGGCTATGCCCTCTTTGCAAGCAAAGGCCACAGACAACAGCCCACTTACTTTTCCAATGTCATTTCACCCTTCGTGTGTGGAACGATATTCTTCACTGGCTTGGCATGGATCACATTCATACTACTACTTGGTCAGCGAGGGGCTCGGTGTGGGAATGGTGGAAAGGAAACGTATATCTTCGCTCCGAATCCCGCAAGGCGCTTGCCTCACTCATGACACTAATCCCCTGGGAAATTTGAACGGAGCGCAATGCTAGAGTTTTCCGCAACACGGCCGCACCTACAACGGTCGTCATTAGTAAGACAAAAGAGGAGTTGTCACTTTGGACGTTGGCGGGTGCCAAGCATTTGGATATTGTAATGCCGCGTAGATTCTATTTCTAACCACTTCGTGGCCTGTCTAAACCTCCTTTTAATCAATGAAATGGCAAATCTTTTGCTTTGTTTCAAAAAAAAATCTAGTTATATATTGTAGATATAACCACATAACCAGACGTAAAAAGGATATCCAATTCTTCACACGGTCAAATGCTATCAAATTCTTCACACAGTCTTATTGGAAAAAACTCCACAAACTCCTCGGCGTTGAAGGTGAAACACTCACTTGGATGAGGATTGATTTTGTAGCATCTCCCTGTTTTAGCTTAGATTAAATCTTACAAAATACCAAGATTATGCGAATTAATACCAAGCACGGGTTGTATTTTATTCTTCGCCCATAGTACAAAAGAGAAAGAAATGCGTTTTTTTCCAGCTTTGGAATTTTCCAGCGCCACACACAGAAGCCAGTAGCAAAGAGCCAAAGATTCATACGTGGTGAGCTAAGCTCCATTTGGAGCTTTTTTTATTGAAGTTTTTGAAGATAGGCTTCCTTGGCCCCTACGTTGGCAGATTTGCTAACTTGACCCCTACGCCTTCTCAAGGCAGGTCTGACCCTTAACTACACTGCTGTTTTATTCGTGTCAGTGCGCCACTGGCTGGCCACACGTACGCCCACTTGCATATCGACACACACCGGCGTGGGAGCTGGGGCAGCTCGTGGGCGCACGGATCCCTCCGTAATTTGTCCAACGGGCAGCTCGGGGATGTGAGGCCAATTCCAACGCATGATCTTAAATGGTCCAGTTGCGTTTGTTTAGGGGTAAACGGACAAAACAGACCATTCAACGCCGGTGTGTGTCGGTATGCCCCTTTCATCTTAGGGTTGTACCGATCCCCACAGGTGATCCTTTCGGTCGCTGCCATGGCCGCAGCTAGCACGGCTCATCGATCGCTCGTCCTTCGCAGCACCGTTCCTCGAGCTCGTCTGTCACGCCCGAGATGCATCGGGTGCCGCCCCTCCACGGCCATGGGCAAACACGGTTCTCCACCTCGTCGGACTGTATCATGGTCGCTCCGGCCGCTCCTGCGGGCATCATTGACCTCAATGTCACGCCCCGGCACAGCTGCGCTGGCCAGCCGTCCGACGAGACGCAAAGGAAGCAGCCTCGGTCGTTCGCTTCAGCGAACATGGCCGGCGCCCGCAAGTTGTTCAATGAAATGCCAATGCTGACGCCCACGGCCAACGACCCTGAGTACTCAGCTTTCATGGAGAACGTCATCTTCCAGGACCATGGTGAGGCCTTCCACGTCAACGGCCAGGCCCAAGCTTTTGATCCCGACGCAACCTAAAGTTAGGATGGCCGCGACCACTATGAAGACACTAAATTCGCCGGCCATGATGAAGATGAGGACGACCATGGCAACTCTTGGCATGAACATGATGACTTGTATTGTGAAGATGAGGAAGAAGAGCTCGACATTTCGGCCGAGCCATTGGTGTTTATCGATGAACTCACCCAAAGGCCGAGGCACAAAAGAGGAGGCAAAACATTCACACGGGATTGTACAACCATGATGAGGACACTTTGATTTGCGAGAGTTGGATGGAGATAGGCTAAGATCCCATGAAACGTGCCGAGCAAAAAGGATCCGTCTTTTGGACAAGAGTTCACAAGAACTTTCATGAGCGTAGGAAGTTTGCACCCTACCAATTTACGAGCACACGCGTCATCAACTCAATTCAAAAGAGATGAGGGTTCATCCAACAAGAGTGCAACAAGTATTGTGGCGCGCTTGAGAGCGCTCAAGCCTGCACCGTGAGCGGCCTAGGCCTTGGTGACTTGGTATGCCATTTTATGTTCATTCATGTCGGCAATGCCATTTATGTTTGATGCATTTTGTGTCGTTTCATGTTACATTTTGTGGCCGCATCTTTGATTGTGTAGGCATTCCAATTTTTGGATGCCTTCAAGGCCCAACACAAGAACAAGTCGTTTACTCTCACGCATTGTTAGATGCTCATCAAAGATTGCTCCAAGTTCAACGAACAATATGCCGCTTGTAAGAAGAAAGGAGGGAAGGCGGTCGTGGCTGATGAGGGAGACTTTCTCAAGAGGTCGAGGGGAAAGACAAGCTCGAAGGCCAGCGAGAAGCATGATGCGTCTTCTATAGCCTTGCAAGGAACTTTGGAGAACATGATGAGCCAAAAGGAAGTGTGGGAGGAGAGGAGGAGCAAAGGGAAGGAGGAGCAAATGAAGATATACCTAGATCTTCAGACGAAGAAGCTTGACATGGAGGAGGCCGTGAAGAGGAGGAAGCTTGACATCGAGGAGACCGCTCAACTCAAGAAGCTCGAGATCGAGGCCACCAATTCCGAGACCAAATCCAAAGAGGTGGCACTCGAATTCATGAGCGTCGATAAAGAACAACATGTCACCGGAGAGGAAGGCTTGGATCGCGAACCGGCAGACACTACAAAAAAAATACACTTCCGTGATGATATGTGTTTGTCACAGTAGGTCGTGCTTTTTTGTCATGCATGTACATCCATGACAAATTTATGACAGAATCAAGATATTCATACCTGTGCTGTCGTAGAAGTGTTCCATGACATTACCAAAATTATCATCATGGAAGTGTCCACTTCCATGACGATAAATCGCGCGTCACAGAACTGCTTTTGTCAAGGGTGACTGACACGTGGCATCCACCGTAACGGAACGCCGTTAAGTTATCGGGTCAGGTTTTGGATCCGATAACCCGTTAGCAGCCCCAACCAATGGGGATTTTCCACGTGTAAAATCATCATTGGCTGGAGGAAACACGTGTCGGCTCACCGTTGGGACAGATGTCATCCGCTCATTGGAGCGAAGGCGCCTATGATACGGCGACACGTGACACGGCCCAACAAAGGCCCATTCCTGTGAAATGGCCGGTCCGTTTGACTTGGTCAAAAGGTGGCGGGCCGGCCCACGGAAAGCCTGTTAACGGCCTGTTCGCATATAGCCCATTTACAGCCCGCTAACCCAGGGCCCGTTACGCCCTATCTGAATTAGGCCCAGTAGCGTCATCTGGGCCGTCCAATATGATTCAGCCCGTTTTAACTTTCGGCCCGTGTGTGGCCCATGACTTCTTTCGGCACATATGAGGACCTTTGTAACTCTTGGCCCATTAACGGCTCGTGGTGAAACTGACCCGTAATGAACAGTGTATCACTTTATACCCATCAACGGCCCGTTATTTCATTGGGCCGTTTCCAACCCAAGTTATCTTTCGGCCTTCTCAGGGCCCATTGATTCTTGGGCTCATTTGCAGCATTCGGTTACATACGGCCCGTTACTGTCATTTTCTGCTTGTGGGCCAAATTCAGCCCGTCGTTACAGTCGGCCCGTTTGCGGACCGTTAATACATTGGGCCGTTTTCATGACAAAAAAACCGTTGGGCTGTTTTCATAGAGTTATCAAATACGACCTATTAACGGCCCGTTATGGTCCACGAATAGTACAACCCATGGATACTACGGCCCGTATGAGGCCCATGGACCCTACGACCGGTAGAAGGCCCATGGATCCTACGGCCCGTATGAGGCCCATGGATACTACGACCCGTATGAGGCCCATGGACCCTACGACCCGTAGAAGGCCCATTGATCCCTAAGGC